GGGAGAAGGCCATGTATTATCATTGTGACTGAAAACTTGATGGTCAGTGTGAGAGCTTTAAAGGACAAGCTGGCTCCTATTTATTTTGTCCAGTTTATAGTGCGCGTTGTCGATTTCTTGATTGACATGTGATGAACATCAACTAGGCCTATAACCAAGTAAGATTCGGATCGACTGACTGTCAGAGATGACTTAATTTTGTTAACATAGGCTTAGATATACAAATTTCACATACATCAGGGCTATAAATAATACATTAGTAAACACCTTGTTGAAACTCTCTGTATATTCAGATTTTCAAATTTCTAATTCACTAACCTATGCTTTCGGACAATCCTGAACAAAAAACCATATTCCCTGTATTAAAAGGGGCCACTTTTTTGTGTAAAATGACAGGTAGGCTACTGCCAAAATAGGGACAGGAACATTTTCGCTCAAATCAACACCTATTCAACCTCAGGGAACACTATTTAAAAAAAAATTGTATAACAACCCGACATATTGGCTCAAAATTATATTTTTTCTATAAAATATATGTTTCTACAACTTTCAAATTACTTTTTATTTGCCCTCTAGAAAGAACTAACAAGTCAACAATCTGGTACTTGTACAGTTAGGGGCCTACCGACCTCGAAAAGCCCAATTAACCCATCTCGAATTGAAGCCCCCTCTTTAGTTTGCAAAAGTAGCCTCGAAATGAAGCCCATCTCGGAAAGAAGATGGTAAAACATGAATTAAAGAAACAAAAAAAAAAAAAAAAAGTTAAAACACGATTGGTTTATACAGTAGTTTAGGTGATTTAATACTCTATCAACAAATTGATGTTACAGTGGCCTTTATAGTACCGGTGTAATTCCCAAAATTTACAACGTTCACCAGTAAAAAAAGCATCCCTCTTTACTTCGCAAAAAAAAAAAGCAGTCAATTTTTTTTTCTATTTTTTTTTTTATTTTGAAAAAATTTGGATTGGATTGGATTTATTCGGTGTAAATACCAAGGATAGCCCACGGAAGTCTAAAAGAAGACTTGTTTCCAGGGGGTCCTTCTGGTGGTGATTGGACAGTACATCAGGAGACAATCCCCTACTCTTTTCCGAAGAGTGTATTGCGTTCTTTAACGTGCACATGGGCCATAATGCACACGGGACCAATGGCTTAAACGTCTCATCCGAAAGACGGTGCGCTATGTAACTTGTATTTCAGCCCTCTAGCTGAAACACAAGGAGAGGCAGCGATGGGAATTGACCGTGGGGACCTAGAGATCTTCACGGTTCAGCGCACACACAGTGGCACCACCAGATTAGCCGACAGAGCTAAAGGCCAACTCAGACAGCGTCGGGCGACGCAGCCCGACCCGATTTATCGTCGGGGACAGTCTTAAGCCGTCGTGAGAAATATCAAACACGTTTAATATTCTACTACGCGACTGCCCCCGACGCACACCATCGCGTCTGCGTTCAACTCACACAGACCCGACGCGACAACAAATCGCGTCGGGCTGCGTCGGCCGACGCTGTCTGAGTTGGCCTAAGCTGCTCTCTTTAGTGGGGGTAGGCTCGGGCCGACTGAGTCCTCTTTGAATCCGCCGCTGTAATTATCGGCGGGTGGAGGCCAAATTCCTATTTGTTTTCTAGGGCGCTCCCAACCTCGTGGTATTACCCATCATGCTCCTCCACCGGATTTACACACAGTGACCTCTACCGGATTAAACTACTCCTCTGTGGGTTACTGCTCGACGACAACATACCGGTAGTGTCTATGTCCCGATGAGGCATAGAAAAAAAAAAAGAAAAAAAAAAGAAATACAATGGGATCGTATTTCCATTTTTTGTGTGTACTTAATGTGCAAACTGAGTGAGAGTCTTAAGAGCTCCAGGCCTCAGAGGGGTGAAAGAGGTAAATCCCATTTAAACCTCTACCCGGCGGTAGCTATTTCATTAATTTAAGTTTGTATTTGATTGATTTTTACTATTTAGCACGGCATTTTCTGATAAGCTTTACAATTTTTTTAACAGAAAATTGAGGGGTGTACGCCCCTTAAGGCAAACTCAGACAGCGTCCTCTAAATCCTCCACTAGGATTCCAATACTGTAACCTGCACCCTGATTTCTAAGATATTCTACCGTTCCTTGTGCATGTTACGGATATTTGGCAATTAAGTAATTATAACAAATTATGAAACAATGATTGTTTTATTAACATTCAAGTTAATTTTATATTACAAATGTTGTAGTAGGCCCATTTGCATTGTAAAAATGATTTTTATAAATTGGTTTAATTCTACTGTAATTGTTTTGTCAATTAATAAAACATTATACTAATATCTACGTCATCATTGTATGAATACGATCAGTAACCCCTATTAGTGGGACAATTTTATACTTTTGGTTAAATACTAATAGGGGTATACTTTATATCTAATTTTTATTTTTATTGATGTCTAACATAAGAAAAGTACATCAATAAACAAGTTGCAAAAACAATTAAATCACCTTGATTAATGGGTGAGTATCCTTATCTTCAGTGACACCATATTTTTATTCACTACGACAAATAATACGTTTTTTCCTCAAGGCAAATTATTTGTATGTGCGCCACTGTTTGTGTATAAAACAATAATGTGTCTCATCTAGCTCCTCTTATCTTATCTTATTTTTTGGCGACAATGGTCCCGATACTTAGTGCAGACCTTAACAGGGAACAAGTTGATAATTTAAAGACAATTGAGGGCGATATTAGTGCCGCAGAATTTCCTCAATTGTTTTATTCATTCCCCACAAGCTAAATAGTTCAACAGTGTTGATGTTATATCTTTCTTATATATACAGTATTTACTTTAAGTATAAAGCATATATTTATAGAAAATACGTTATAGTACTAGCATACCCATTTAACCTCTAGATATTTAACCTCTAGAAGGTATTTCTAAAGTGTGTCTTACATAAAGTGCGGAATAATATTTATATTTAGCGGAAGTGCGCAGTTACAGTGCGTCACGATCGTTCTTTTTCCTCGAAGTGTCTCTGCGTGAGAAGGAAAAGTGTTGTTGCTGAAAATATAAACGTAATATACTTTTTTTACTGTTAATTGAATTGAAAATACACATCAATAATGTCAAGATTTGATAGAGGAGACAGATTTCATGATTCTGGACGCTCTGACAGACGAGGAGGTGGCGGTGGAGGGTAAGTTAAATCAAGCCTACCTACCTACCTACCTACACTAAATTGTACGAGAAGCGTGGTTAAACTGACTATCCATAGCCTAAATATAGCCGGTTCATATTTCATTTTGCCAAACCGAGTATTTCTTTCCTTTGTCCTGATTTAAATTAATGTCATGATAAACCGTTTTTCTATTGTATTATACTCAATATTTGTATCAATTTACTTTTGATACTCAATTCGCATCTATTTTCATCTTGATTGATTGTTGAAGTTGATGATCATGATACGAAATCGATTCATTCAATTTTTCTGTATTTCATCATTGTTCATTGTATTAGGCCTAGGCTAGGCCTGCTGAGTCATTGTGTAGCCCTACATAGTACACTTGAATATTGTGCAGTAGATACAGGCCTAGACTTATGTATTATTAATTAAGGAGATTAACATTACTTTTTGAGTATTCAGCTTAAATTTTTAATTATTTTTATACGTAATAAATATTTGAATCGTTTTATCGACAGATATGGAGGTCGCGGTGGCTTTGGTGGTGGACCACGATTTGGTGGAAGAGGTGGTGGTGGTGGAGGTGGTGGTGGAATGCGGGATAAATTCAATGATCCTGGTTCAAGACTCAGGAGACCCCGATGGGAAATGAAAGATTTAATTCCTTTTGAGAAGAATTTCTACAGAGAGCACCCAGATGTATCACGCAGATCTCCTGTAGGTCACTCGCATTCAGCAGTTGTATTTGTTGAATCATACAATTAGCCAAAATATGTTGAAGAATAATGTTGATGATGTGATGCTTGGCCCATTTTTCTTACACATAACATAAATTCGCCTGTAGTCACATACTTAGGCACACACACACACTCATGTTAGCTCATTTTAATTTTTTGTAGTTCGGGTTTTCCATCACTCATTAAAATCATAAAATAAAAAAAAAATTGTGGTGTCCATAAAAGAATTAAGGAGTAAATGAGACCTTTTTTGGTTTTGTCTAATGCTTTTTTTTCGCAGCACGACATCCTCAACATGTTGGCTACAAATACATCTTAGTTATAACTTATAATGAATTATTAATAAGAAAAATGATAATGTTGATATAAATAATTAAATAACTACTGTAGGATGTACTATTCATACTCAACACAATAATAAATCATTCATGCAAACACTTAAATTGAATTGCAGCTGCAGACAAACATTACTAGTGTTCATAAGCATCAAGCATGTCTAAATGAAAGCTCATTCTACAAGAGAGGCAGAAGTGAGACCAAATGACACAAATTTAAATACATTTTTTGACTGATTTTACTTAATTAGCAGAATTAATTTTAAATATTTTCTCAAGTCAGTGTCGTGTATAAATATCAGCATGTAGGCCATAAACTACAAGTATCAGTTCTGGGCAAGTCCTGGACTCTGTTGTAATTGACAACAGAAACACATCTGAAACCTTTCCCAAGTGAGTCTGGGGTCAAAAGGATTTCAATTTTTAGAGTATCATTCTGACTTGCTTTGTTTTCCCCCACCTCAGGAAGAAGTAAATGAATATCGCAGAACACATGATATCAGAGTCTCGGGAGGTGTTGGTAAACCTGTAACAGAATTCCATGAAGCATCTTTTCCTGGTGGGTTATTACTTGATGTTTTGCTTGTTTCAATTTCAGCTTGAAGTACAACGATACCGCAGTGCGGGCGAGATAACTGTCAAGGGACGAGACGTGCCCAAGCCAGTGCAAGGGTTCCAAGAAGCCGCGTTTCCTGGTGGGTGTCCTGACGTGCCCACGTATACTACATTGAAGTCATGGGTGTGTCTGTGAAAGCAGTGCACGATTGGCGGAGATTGATAGTGTGGATAACGAACAGTGGAAAATCCCAGGAATTTGCGTTTCTTTTGGAAATGCTACTGTGCGCTTTTACTGAATCCTATTTTGCAAAATCTTAATTTTGGAGGATTGTATATTTATACATTTTGACATGGTCAAATATCAAATTATAAAATCTGCAGGTCTTTAATTCTGAATTATAATTATGAGAAAGTAATCTCTGAAATTAGCCAGAGTACTTTCCTTGCTACTAAATTAAGGTTTTGCAAAGTAGATCAATTTTCAGCATCTAATCTCTACTATCGCTTGATTTGCATGCTTTTCAAAACACTTACATTGGCCGTATTTGACTGGTCATTCTTTGTTAAACCACGCCTTGGTAAAATCATACTTAACAAAGATAAGCAGATAAATAGTAAACTGGTAAATACTTAGGCGAGACTTTTTTCATTCCTTGTTTTTCGCGTATTTATTTATTTTTTTTTACATACATAATTATTATATACATATATCTTTGAAGATTTCAAGGAAGCGGAGGGCATGTTATAATTGTAGAGAAATTTCCACATTTTGTGGTGGCGTGTGTGCTAATTGGCCAAAAATAAATTTTATTTTTGTTTAAAATCGTTAATATTTGCAGTCAGCGGGTTCGCTAAACAAGTTATAAAAAAAGTCTTGCATTAACAAAAAAGAACAAACAAATATCTTCGTGTACTTTTTGAACACAGCCTACAATTTTTTTTTGACTTTATGTGGGCGTATATGATTAAATCTCAATTATATTAACGCAGATGTTTTTGCTATACTGCCTCGATTGCCATGTTTGTTTTTGTCGCATGGATAACATATTCTGGTACACGTTAATTTCCATTGTAGGCAAAGTATATTTTGGGAAAAAACAGCCAAATGAGGATAATATTCAAACAAAAAATCATCGTCAACAAAACAAACCAGTCGAATAAGGCCAATAACTGCCATATTTATTCATGGCCATCATACTGCATACAAAGGTTATTTGAGGTCAAGTTATTACTACCAGATTAACACTTGGTTTGAACAAATGGATACAAGTTGTTAGTACTCATTGCCTCACTAGAATTGTATCAGTTCTCTAACTTTTTAGACTCTATTCATACTGAAATAGTGCATATCTGTTTACTTCTATTTGCCGTTAAAATATAATGGCAAACATTCTTTTTATGTTTTTCCAAGCGCTAATTTATCATTCTTGCTCTAAATCATTTTTAAGAGTTGTGTTTCACTGTTCCGTTGAATACCTAATTTTTGCAGCTCTAAAAAATCTTTACAGCTCTAAAAAAATCTTTACAGCTTTTAGGCCATGTTTTTGTAGCACCTGAAGTACTTGATTATCCACACATAACCATGGATAATTTGTTTAAATCTGTTTTGGTGCAGGTGAAACATGGCTTTAAGAGTATGCATTTCAGGGGCGGATGGCTGTAAAACAGTTTTAAATGGCTATTTCATTGTGTTATAGCCATCTTTATTACATAGACGGTCTTGCGAAAGTCTCCTGTAAAGATTACTGCTATAAAATGAACTTTGCAATGACTACATGGAGTATTAAAAAACAGTCACTACCACAGCAACTGTAGTAATGAATGCTAATGCATTGCACATATTTTAGAAATTGTGTAATAAACGTTTGCGACACCAGCTTGTAAGCTCATTTCTAAACTATGAAATTATCATTGTTGAAGCCAGATAAAATTCTTTGAGAATATAATTAAAATAAATACAGATTCTGGTCGAACATTTTTTTAATACAGTGAAAACTCTTAATACTGATCGCCCAGAAAACCAAATCTCGCGCTAACCTGAACGTTTCAAGTCTCAAAATCATTCCTATTTTTTTAAATTATATAATAAAAAGCATTTCGTAAACCGAATCTCTCCCCCAATACGAAATTCTGGACGTTTTACTCGGTCAGGAACACAAAAATCAAATTCTTCAAGCCAAACAAACAGTTAATGAACGTTGGTTTCTGGACGTAATAACGCAACAATCATTGCTGTCTAGGAATTAACAACTACTTAGCTCAGTCCCAGTAGCGTTGTCATAGAGATTACGGTATCTGTTGATTAAAATGGCACACCAGTAAACGTTAATGTTAGACCAACTGAAAGTTGCGACTTCCATTGTTTTAATAAAGTGCATTATGGCCGTAATCCTTAAAAATCAATTGGAATTGACCTAAATTTGCTGTGGAGTACATCAAAACAACAGGTGCTGTATGTATTATATGATCGTCGTATGACGCAGTGAATGCCCGGCTTGACTTTTCGTTGGCTAGTCATACAGAACCTACCACAGTGCTTTGCTATGCCTATTTTAGCGGCTAGGCCCTAGCTGGCCTACAGCATCCTTGTTCAGAAAGGATTCGATAGATGTTCCACAAACCAAACTTTCCGGAACACCGAACATCGTAACTGGTCCGGAGGGGGGGGGGGAGGTCGGTATTGGGATAGTGCACTGAGTTGACAAAAGAAAATTCAGTTAACAGAAAAATTAGCTAACAAACCTGTGTTTTTGTTATGATTACATCTGGCTATGCCTTAAGACCGTCTATAGACAGCTTATAGCAGTTCGCCCCTTGTCCTTGTTTATTGCTAAATTCAAATGTAGCATTTACATGTACTGTACTGGTTCACTGTGGGAAGTAACAAACACATAACATGCTAATAAATACTCTGTATGATTTATGTCATTGTAGATTATGTAATGGATTGCATTATGAAACAGGGGTTCAAACAGCCAACAGCAATTCAGTCTCAAGGTTGGCCAATAGCACTCAGTGGACAGGATATGGTAGGCATTGCTATGACAGGCTCTGGAAAGACACTTTCAGTAAGTAACCTACGATCTGACTGAAAAGTCATGGATTGCCTTAAACTTGGCAACAACTATTCATATATGTTCAACATTGTTTTTCTATTTTTGCAGTACATTCTTCCTGCTATTGTGCATATCAACAACCAACCATTTTTAGAGAGAGGAGATGGTCCTATAGTAAGTTTATAGTTATTTGATAATTGATAATCTTGTATTCAGACAAAAGCTGAATACTTTTTTTTTGAATAAAAGATGATTTTTATGATGCTATGAGAGTTGCCCTAGTTTACCTTATAGTAACTAAGTAGTTTTTGTCTAATTCTTAATTTCTATATAAAGATGTTTATTTTGCACATTTATATTTTTTAAATTCTTTTGGGAAAATTTATTTAAATGTTTTGCAATTGTTTTTAGTAAGTAGTAAATTTTATAACAAATTTCAGTGTAACAGCCATGTTTTAGAATGTGTTGAATGTTACATGAATATACCAGTTTATTTCAACAATTGTTTTTGTTAGAGAAAATGTGGGCATTGAGTTTAAAACAAACAATTGTTTTGATACTTTATTCATAATAATGATAATGATTGCTGAGGCACGACTAATGTACTTACTCTATTTTCTTCTCTTCAGTGTTTGGTATTGGCACCAACTCGTGAGCTAGCCCAGCAAGTACAGCAAGTTTCAGCACAATTTGGCTCCTCCTCCAGGATCAAGAGTACGTGTGTCTATGGCGGAGCCCCGAAAGGCCCTCAGATACGTGATCTAGAAAGAGGTAAGGTTGCTATTTGTCACATTATGCTTTTTACAAACTACAGAATTCCATATTTTAAAATTTCATCATTTGGACACATGGGTCTAGTATTAACATAATCATTAAGTAACAATCCTATTTAATAAGGCAAATAAATATACATGATGCTTCACATAAACTAAATTTCATGAGGTTTATATTGTGGAAGAATTTCTATCATGAAAAGCTTGCTCATTAAATTAACCTTTTGTTCCTTTGCAATAGGAGTTGAAATTTGTATAGCCACACCTGGTCGTCTTATCGACTTCTTGGAAGCAGGCAAAACCAACCTAAGAAGATGCACATACTGTGTACTAGATGAAGCTGATAGGATGTTAGACATGGGCTTTGAACCTCAGATTAGAAAAATCATTGAACAGATCAGGGTAAGAGAATCATGAGTGTTTTATAAATTCAAATTATTTTAAATAGTCCATAGATGAAATTCATACCAAATTTAACATATAAAAATAATATTAACAAATAATAAAATACAATAGAATAAATCTTAAATATTATTGATGTTTGTGAAGAATCTCCCATACTACACATTGTATGATTGAATTATGATAAACCAGGAAGTAATATTATCTACACAATCTGATAGTAATCAACAGATTAAATAAAAACGTTTTATTTATTTGATGTTTTTTAATAGTAAATTTTTGTTTTTGCCGGTAGCCTGACCGTCAAATGCTGATGTGGAGTGCAACATGGCCAAAAGAGGTACGCCAGCTTGCTGAAGAGTTCTTGAAGGACTATTCTCAGGTGAACATTGGCTCACTGAGTCTCTCAGCTAATCACAATATTTTGCAGATAGTAGATGTATGTGATGAATCTGAGAAAGACATGAAGTAAGTTGACAATACCATTTTCAAGAGACTTAAAGTTTTCTGTATTTTAAAAGGTGATCAAATGTCAACATTTAGAATGCTCAGTGTTGTGAAGTATTATAATGCCTTTTCCTTCCAGTTACATATTGCTTAAGACTAATTTAATCAAGCTAAAAGAGAACATTCTAACCGGATGATATGGTAAAATCAGTAATTAAAATATAAATGTTTTAATTTATCAGTGAATCACTTTTTAATTGCAGGTTAATCAAGCTTCTTGAAGAAATTATGCAGGAAAAGGAGAACAAAACACTTATATTTGTAGAAACTAAACGGAAAACAGATGAGCTTGTCAGAAGAATGAGAAGAGATGGGTAATTAGTCTTTTTACTGCAAAAATATTCTTAAATTATCAATGTTAGGTGTTACATATTTTAATAAGATGTATTGTCTGTCATGAGGTTAAAAAATATATTCAATTCTGTATTTGAATTGCTTAATTTGTACATTGAAAGAGATTTCATATGTCTGTAAATCAATCTTTTCAATCTGTTTCTGGCTGAATGTTAGAAACTTACTTGATCCTTTTAAATGAGCTATTAAAAATTTTAATTGATTTTTTGAGGTTTTTGCTGATAATGTTTCTGCCAAGACAGTATTATTTTAATTTATGAAGAATCAATGCTATGTTAAAATATAATTCATGTAAACATGCTAATGCTCAAGTTCTATGTAATTTTTTTTAGGTGGCCAGCGATGTGTCTCCATGGAGACAAGTCTCAGCCAGAACGTGACTGGGTTTTGAAAGGTTAGTTTTTAAAGTGACTTCAAAATCGCCTCAGAGTCATATGTACTGTGTATCTTAACGATCTGGATCCAAAATATTTCGGAGAACAAATTCACCAATTTCAAATAAGGTTAAAAGAATGTTAAAAGAAAATGTTTATAAGATTTTTTTTTCAGGTTATTTTTTAGAAGTTCTTTTTGATATTTTTGATACTGTATATTTGATGTTATTGATTTTTATGTTGTTTTTTGATGTTCTTGATGAAGTTCAATTATATATTCTACAGGCCAATCAATCTCTTGTGTGGATGCCTAGTAGAATATTAAACTTGTCTTAAGATTCATGCTAGTGTTTGCTCCTTGGAAGTAACACACTTAGAAGTCATTACATTATTCTTTCAGAATTCCGCTCTGGCAGCTCACCAATTCTGGCAGCTACTGACGTGGCATCTCGTGGATTAGGTTTGTAATTAAATACGAATGTGTTGTACTTAACACTAAGCGATGATGAAAATGATGTGGTGTTGTATCAGTTGTGAGTTGGATGTGAATGCCTTGTGTGAAGATATTGTATAGAAAGTTTAAAGTAAGTCGGACAAAGGAAGTTTAAACTGTTGTAGAAATTTAACCTTTGACATTGAGAGTGCTGTTTCGATGCCCAGACTTCTTAACTAAACTGCCCTATTTGGTAATGCTTGTTCCAGGTGCACTAATTTTTTTTCTTAACGGTTATTGCTTTAATTGTATGAAAGCCAATGAAGTGTTTGTCTTTATTTTGTATTACGTACTGTAAGTGGGATTATAAATCACTTCATTTCATTGTGTATGTTTTGTTGGTTTAATTGCAAGTATTCACTCTTCTTTGTTTTTAGTCTCTTTTTCAATAGATGAGGCTGTCGGCAGGACCCGTGCATGACACTTCGTCGACTAAAAGCGGGAGAGACTTGAATTGGGGTTCACCCCTAGTGACCATAAGGGTAAACGGATGCAGAACATTTATTGACCTCTGACACATGATTCAAAGTCAGTAAATTATACACGCTGCTTGAAAACTTTGCCTAATTGACTGTATGCTAGGACATGCCCAAAAAGTAGAATTCACTTTATTTAGCCTGCATGGTTAGTTGCCGTTGGAAGCAGCCATTTGCCTCTGATGGTCTTCTTATGCCTAGTTATAAGATACACTGTTCATCCATTTATAAATTCACCCTGAATTAGACCCATAATTGTAACGGATATCACCAGCAGAATACTTCTGTCTTAAGTAGGAGCATTCACTCTTTAATTTTGGAGGTTGGTTTTTGTCAGCTGCTTGGTATCGAATAGTCTTCCATTCTGTTGTAAACATTGACTTACCTGCAAACCAAGACTGATAGCCATCTCTAGTGAATGGATCCAGATACTCCAGAAGTTGTAAAGGACACGGAATGAAGAAACGAAGCTTCTCTCCCGCACCTGTGGTTGGATGTCATGTCGGGGATCTGCCAAGAAGGAAGAGTTAAAAAGTTGAATACAAATAATACAAAACTGCAAGTATTCCACAACAGCGTAAAATTCCAGTCATCTTCAAACCGGGAAATTGTCTCGGTACAGAACTCTTTGTCTTATCGCAACCACAGTCTCAACTTATGATCTCGTTTAAATGGTAAATGTTTGCAGGTGTTGTAGACTGTAGAACCGTGGTTGGACAAGGAGAGATGCATACTCCTGTGCCTATATTTCAGTCGTAATAATACATAAAGATAATTTATGCGCCGAACATCACTCGTATTGGAGTATGCATCAGGCTGGATCTGCTTGCATTTTAAAAATTCATATTTATATTTGTTTTTTTTTTTTAATGAAACCACCAATATTTATTTTCCAGCAGCTAACATCTGATTTAGCAATTTTACTAACTTACTCTTTTCTTCCCCCTCTTCCCCTTTATTTCCAATTGTGGCATCTTTGCTCTTTTGCATGATGACCAAAACCACCACAGATGTAAAAGATGTCAAGTTTGTGATAAACTATGACTACCCAAATAATTCTGAGGACTATGTTCACCGAATTGGGCGAACAGCACGTAGTAACCACACAGGTACTGCCTACACATTCTTCACTGCGGCCAATGCTAAACAAGCAAACGATCTCATTGGTGTCCTGGCTGAGGCGAAGCAGCAAGTGAACCCAAAGCTCATGGAGTTGGCACAGTGTGCTAGAGGTTTTGGCAAAGGTATGTTTGTTTTTGAGCTTTTAAGTTTGGCATGTAAGTACCATCTTCTGAATACAAACTCTTTGTGGTAATTATGTCATTAGAATTATCTATTTTAAATATTGTAACATTTAAAATTGCATTTAAAAATCCTCCAGAATGATTAAAAATGTTATACAAGAAATGTTTATACCAATATATCGATAAAAAACATTAAAAGAAATGTTGATTATTTTTAGCTGATGTATATTTCAATTATAGCCGTGCACTCTTGTCAATGTTTGGTAACACATAGCCAAGCACCTAATCTTTGACCTAAGCTTGCGTGCAGCCCTTGGCATTACATCAGACGTTCTTTGACCTAAGCTTGCGTGCAGCCCTTGGCATTACATCAGACGTTCTTTGACCTAAGCTTGCGTGCAGCCCTTGGCATTACATCAGACATTCTCTTTGAGCTTTTATGCCCACTCCTGGCATAGAGCCTTACCACTGCAGTACTATACATATTTTTTAAGTTAAATAATTGAGATGTTTACTGTGATGCAATTGAATATTAACAGTATTAAGTTATTGTACCTTTAACTTGCTGTTACCTTTTAGGATTGCTTATTTTGTGTATTATTGTATTGAAGACAGATGTATTTTTTTGACTAAATTTTTTCTTGTAAATGACTTAACTGTATCAGCATTGTTGAAATGCCTGAACTTTTTGTCTAAAACTACATTTATATTTGTACCCACCAAATGTAATATCTAAAATTATCTTACTAGAATGTTCACCTACTTACAAAAATTGTGAAAATAGCATTTTGAAAATTAAAAATTTCTATTACTATTTAGGCCGCAGTCGTTATAGGAATACTGGTGGTTATGGTGGTGGCGGTGGACGCTTTAATAGTGGACGAGACACAGGAAGAGGAGGCGGGTTTAGGAATTCAATGGGTGGGGATAGAATGGGATCCAGAATGGACAATGGGCCTTCAAGAAGTGGGGGCATGAGTGGTGGCCCACCAAGAGGTGGTATGTCAAATGGTTATTCAGGTGGCAGGGATGCTGGTAACCGAAATGGTTATGGCTCTAGACCCCCTCCAGGTGGACATGTTTCCAATGGTATGGGAAGGCAGGACTCTCGTCCTCCTCAAAGTAATGGTATGAGTAAAGGTGGCCCTCCACCTCAAAAGCCTGTTCAGAGGAGTGGACCACCACCTCAACCCCCAAGCAGAAGTGGTCCTCCACCATCAGCTAGCAGACCTCCCCCAGCAGCTGCACCTCCAACTGGTCCAACGGCACAGCAGCATCAGCAGCAGCAGCAGCAGCAGCAGATGATGTCGCAGATGGCTGCTCAAGGTACAGACCCATCACAGATGGCAAGCATGGATCCAGCTGCTGTGCAGCAATACTACCAGTATTACTATCAATATTGGCAGCAGTACCAGCAACAAGCAGTTGCTGCAGCCCCTGCACAATAGGCACTTTCACAACGATTATCATCTTCATCATCAGTCAACATCCATCATCTTCATTGATCATCAAAAACATACACTATCTTTACAACATACATTTCAAACACAGATGTTGTACTTCTGCTTGGTTATTGTAAATCATATGTGTAGATGTGTGTAGACAGTAAGATAGTGGAAGGCAATGTCATTGACATTTCTTCATTGTATGCGCTTTTCGGGGATTATAGTCGGCAGCTCAGTAAAACTATTGTATATGTAATGAGGCATTTATTGTATAAACAAAGTTGGGCTATGTTAACGATTGACCAAATCTAAAGGAAGGATGGAAGGGTTAACAATGAATGGTATAATTTTCTGAGCTTTACTCAAGTTTATTTTTTAAATATTGATAAATTGTTTGGTGTGCTTTACCCAAATTTAATAAAAAAAAAAATATTGATACAAATTTTAATAGAAACAATTGTTATGACTGGAGTAGAAAAAAAACATTAAGAATGCTTCAAGGATTTATATTATGGTCCACTTTACTCCAAATCCAAAAAAGAGAAAAAATTATATAAATTAAAAAAATGGGGAAAATATATTACTGTAGCTGCCATTTAAAGTTGCCATGAAAGACCAAAATTTAAATCAAGAACACATTCTAATTTAAGTAAAAAAGATTAGAATGTTTGAAACAGATTTAAACTTTTAATACTGTGTTTTGAAATATTTTAATATGGTCATTGTTGTCATGCAGTAAACAAAATATCTCTTGGAATCAAGAGCATAATTTAAAGTGTATATGACCATAATTGGTTGTAATGTTATACATGTAACCAATTCTTAGTTTGAATTTTTTATTTATTTAACACAAGGGAATCTTGTAGACTTGAAATTATGAATATTTATGTCAGAACTGTTTGACCTCAGACAGCTTTCTGCTTTTTCCTGTGTTTAGTTAAGACATTTTAAAAAGTATTGTATTTTTCCTTTACCATTTCTTTTTACCAAAACGTTAATTGTAAGTAGTGACATTAAAATTACCTTTGAATGTAGACATGTTGTTAGTCATTGATTACAAGTCTAATGCGGAAGGTGGGTAAGCAGTGTACAGGATGAGGTGTGTTTAATTCAGTTATAGCGTGAATGCAAATTTACATTACAGTACACAGGCATGGATCCAATAAGGGAACAAAGGGGGGGGGGGCACGCTGTGCCCCCTGCTTCGCCACTAAATTTTGAAATTTCAATGCATATCAGTGTTACAGTGTAACTATACTCGCATATCTATTTGAAAATGACTGGTGGTATGCAGAACTGTATTGTAAATGTTCTGGATGTTTCACAAGATGTCTGCAGGGGAAGCTCAACACACTTGACACTGTCAGGCTTGTTTGCATTAATTGGAAAGTCTAGCAATGAATTATTAAATGATTGTAGACCATGTGAAATCATTTAGATAAAGAATTAAAAGAGAAAAATATTTTCTAGATAGGGGAACACGAACACCCATAATCATTCTCGACCATAGGTTTCTTACCCATAATGATTTTTATTTTCCTGCATCACTAATTGATTTTCTGTAAAATTTTGGCTGTCTTGCCAGTTAAGAACATGGTAGATATCTGATTTGTCAAGTGCACTTAAAGGTTTTGTGGTTGCTTGTTTGTGTGTGTGGTCTGAAATAAAGACTTACTGTATATACATGTTCTTTTGTTTTCTTTCAACACATACAATAAGTCGACTTAAAAGGTGCAAATAAACAAGGTTTCTAAGCACCATTCATTATGCAGGAGATTGATAAAATGGACAGTAATTCCAAAGAAAAGCCACAAAAACAGACTAGTGCGCAGGGAAGCAAAACCATTGCACTGTTTTCTTGCAACTTAAAACCACTGTAAAAAACAGTGGTCAGCAGGGTCATTACTCCCAAGCACTGTAATGGTTTTGGCATCTAAATAGGAGGGGAGAAAACAAAATCACATAGGTGCAAAAAGCATTGTAAAGAATTGATATGACAATGCCATGCATTGAAATAAAAATAAATAGCAAAGGCAAAACAGTCGGGAAGAAACGGTACAGTATTGACTTTTCGACAAAATTTTATTTCACATAATTAATACACCAAATTACTTGTCTATATAACTTTAATACAAATGTATGCTTACAGCTAGTCTGTATTCCACTTGTAAATGCTTGAATAAGTGTCCCGGCGCTTAATCGAGAGATTGTGTTACCATGCGTAATGAAGCACATTGAGAAACTGTTTTAAATCCAATGTGTACATAATACATAATTTTTATTACAAGCGCTGCTCTCGAGTAAGTGCCGCGCTGAAGCCTCCAAAAATGTTATAAGCACCTCTGCGCTTACTTAAGCATTTAGGTATGCTGTTAAAACACAAAAAACAGCTTTTGATATACTGTACATTAATTGCCATTGGACAAATAAGACTTGCAAAAACTAATTCAAAGATATTAAAAAAGCAATACAATTGCTATATAGAACTTAAAAAATTAATATTAAAGTTTAGAAAAAAAATCATAAGAAAATACAGTCTGTTCAATTTTACACATTAATTATTGTATTGTGCATTACTGTGATACTGTCTACAGGCATACTACACTAATATGCCATCATCTCAACTCTTAGTTGTGAGTAGAGTTTCCTAATTCAGAGCTAAGAATTCATTACCTTGCATCCAAGAGGCTTCTGTGAAAACATCAATTATTCAACTGTTAACCCATCAGTGCATCATTGAGTCACTCTGCATCTGTGTCAGTGGACACTAGTCATTTTTGTTTTATTGTCATCAGTACAGTTATTATTTTTTTTCAAATTATTTTCAATATTTAATTCATAGCAGACTACAGGTTTATAAAAAAAAAATACTGCATTGCAAACCTAATATATTCTGTCTTAAAAATAGAAACAACAATACTCTTTAATAACTTCATTTATGCACAAACAAAATATATAAAAATGTGCATTTAAATGTTAAATTTCCAAACATGAAGTCTTTTGGTACACCAGATTTTATCTTTGCTTTGATGAAACAAGACACATAATATGATATTAGTCTTTTCTGTACTCCAATGTATAGTCATTAGGAACAAACAAGAGATGTGATGTGGAATCTTTTAATGCAATGGCAGTCAAATATCTACTAGATTGCTAAGATTATCAGGACAGGGGAAGGTTTAATTGCACTGCACCCTCAAATTTGAGACCCCTCTAAATCCGAGACCCCTCTAATTTGAGACCACTTATCCAAAAAACCCAAATAACAATCTTCAACCTTTTACTGTAACACAAAACTAACCCTCTAATCGGAGACCAACCAAATTTTCAGGTCCCAAAGTTTGTCTCAAATTAGAGGGCGAACTGTATGTGCACAATAATACTGACGCAGTCAATATTTTTATTCTGCCTACTGTTGCACGACTTTGGAGCTATTTGATTGTATACTTGGCATCCACATCTTATACTGTGTATCTACATTCTGCTTGTTAGCACAATAGTAAACTTCTAATGCTCTTTCAATTATTATATGTAATAAATATATGATATGCCCATATATGGGAATGATGATGTCACATCACAGCTATATGGGAAAATCACATATTATCGCATAAAACGTAATATAGTAGTATGTACAAGAGCACAACAACTTTACGGTTCCGACCAATACTTTCCAGAACACACCATTTCACTTGAGATGAATAAACAGTTTATGGGGTGGCTGATGGCAAATGTGACCACTATGACGTTGCAGCCACTTGTGTTAAAGGCTCCTCAAGATATTCTACTAGGGCTTTGATCTGTAAAAAAAAAAAAAGATTTTAACAAATTGGTTAATTGTACTACAGTTTTACAGATTTTGATTTTACAATTTCTTAATTTTCTATATACCTCATCCCATCACTTATGTAGTTAACTGGATGACCTCAATTCTTACCTTTGCTTTTAACATGCCAAAACCAACATCTGGACCAGAATACATGCAAAGAAGCAGATTTGCAACTTTACTGATTGCCACTCTACCTTCCTGTGAACCAAAGTTAATATAAAAGTAATATAAAAGTACATTATTAATAATGATAATTTTATGGGAGAATATGGCACAAAAGTTTTCTAAATCTTAGTATTGGATGTCCAATCTATATTTAAATCAATCAGGCATCCTTCAATCAAAAATGACATTGCAGAACTAAGCAACAACAGAAGTTTTTCTCAATAGCTACAGTCAAAAGCTGGAATAGTCTGCCATATTACATTGTTAATGCCACTTCTTTAAATAAGTTTAAGAGCCACCTTGAAACGCACCGGCAAAACCACAGCCTAAGGGCACATAGAAAAAATTATTAGATTATCACTCTTTTTAAAAAAAAATTGATGAGGGAGGGCGTTTTTTTTTGTTTTTTGTTTTAATCGGAACAATAGATTATTTCGCTTTTGTTTCTACGGATGAGGGAGGGACAGTTTATATTTGGTCTGTAATAGTAAATATTGTATAAAAAATGGTTTAATTTTATAGTTTTTTTAAGAAAATGTATTTGAAGTCGCAAAATTGCATTGTTATTTTTATGCTGTTGAAATAATTGATGCGGCAAAAACAATTTTTTTTTTATTCCCGCATCAACATTTCCCGAATTTTTGACGCAGGCGTGAGTGATAATCTAATATATTTTTCTATTTGCCCTAAAGTGCGAACCTTACCAAAGTACATTATCCAGTAGAGGGACTCACAAACCTCAACAGGTTTCCAGTCTAAAGGTCAATGTAAATCAAGGTAAGGTAAATAGAGAGCCACCACAAAAATATTTAGATTTTAAACACTACACAAGCAAAAGAAAGAATATTTCTCATAATTAAAGTTGACTGATTTCAATAGGTAACTCCCTAATTATGAGTTCAGTTATTTATCTTTAATTAAAATATAAGATAATAAAATAAAACATAAAAACATAACATAACTTATTCATTTATGTGTTTTGTACAATGACATTCATCATTAAACTGGATGTCTTTTAACTCAATATGGTAAAAGACATGATGATGCCTCAAAAACCAGCTCAAATTTGCTCAGAAAATTGCTAGCTAAATAGCTGTGCAGAATCGTAATTACTGCATGAATGTTTATATATTAAGATTAGGTCAAAACCTTGCCTTTTACCTCACAATCCATCAGCACTAGCTCCAGATTATCCTCATTGAATGCCATCCGTCCGTTCTTCTCGTACGCAGACCAGATGTTACTGGCAATGGCTGCTGTCACACGGGCATCTTTATCTCCATATCCGGAAAATGCTAACAAGTTGCCTTCAAGATTAAGTAGCCTGATAACAAATAATACAAGAACAGATCAATTTACAGTAGCAGGGTTTGTGCCAGACTGTATAGTAAGGCATGCGCGGGGAATATATCTTCCACGCAAAAATTTGGCCTAGAAATCCCTCATTTCGGTAAATAATTGATTTCCACACAGATTTTGCCGAAAATTAGACTTTGACCAAATGTTTATATAACCAATGCAATTATGCAGCAATTACGATTCCGTGCACCTATTTTCCTAGCGATTTTTTCACGCAAATTTGGGCTGATTTTTTAGATATCCTGCGCAATTAAAAAACTTTACAGTATGAAGCGGGGGCCCAGTAGGAAGTAGGCCCAGCTGTCTGGGGCATCCGGCCCAGTCATTGGGGAGTAGTGGTACTACTTGCGGGGGGAAAATTACATTACATTACACTATTTTAATAAAAATAATAGGCCTACAGCTAATTAATATAGTTGACAACCCCTGAAAGTTGCTACGTAATACTATTATTAAATTATTATTTGTTTAAAATAATAATAATAATAATAATAATTGTATCATTATTATTTGCTTAAAATTATCACATCAAGAACTAAGATTTATATAAATCTAATTCATACTGTATTGTAACATCCCTATACTACACCACATTACGGGAACATGGAAGGTCACAGCACACTACAAACATGAGTGCAACCAGTATTAATCCAAACTAGGCCTAACCAGGGACCTTTGCCTAGGAAGTTTCGGTAGCCAGGCTCATCGACATGCCCAACTGAAAGATAGCATAGGAAAGGAACCTAGGCTTAGTCGTTCAAACTGTTGATAATACTAACAGTGTACTTTTAACGCCTCCAGTATTAGCTTGGCTTAATACTTGAGTAAGAGCTTTCGGTTTTAGCATCATCGAAATTCCTATTAATTGGTACAAACGGAATAAAAAACTCAGTTTACTGTCCAACTAAACTGTCGGCTTCCGAAAAGTGAACTACCGTATCACATGATGTTATGTTTTGGAAGTATGCTGTAAGAAACTGTAAATATACGGTCCAGCACGATATTTCTCAATTATAATAAGTTGTCTGGGCAGAATTATCCATAGTCAACATCGCAATGGCGACGTACAGTGAAACACGAATTGAGGATTGCGTAGAGTATTATTTATTCCCTTGCATTGATGGTGATAAATGTTCGAACGAAAAACTGAATGAGAAACTAAATGAAACACTTGAAGCAGTTATGGTCGAACTTAGTCCTCTTTTAGTTGAATACATGTGGCAGAATGAGCACTTTAATTTACAGAGTGGAAATGAAGGTAGGCCTAGGTCTAGCCTAGAGGGGGGCCTACCTGAATTGGGCTAGGCCTAGCCTAGCTAGGCTAGGCCTAGGCCAATGCAGTGTAGCAAATACAATGATTGTCTACCTAGGTTAGGCCTACTACTAGACTAGGTTAGTTCACAAGACGACCGATCCAGCATTCTTCCTTTGCCAGGGCCCAGGTCTAGTCTAACTAGCTGGCATGTTGTTCAAGTCATCCACAGTAAACACACTTTTAAAGTATGTGCTTAAAAATTCGGCCTTATCACTATCATTGTATTGGTTGCCTACACTCCAGATTCAGTAACAAGAGTAGGAATAGTTGATCTTTTTTTAGTCTTGCTCTTAATGTACTTCCAAAGGTTCTTAGGATTGGTTTTAGATTCCATAGCAATTTTGCGTTTTCAAAGTTGAGTTTATCTCTTCTACAACTGGCAGTAGCCAAATTTCTTGCCACCACGAATTTGTCCAGTGACTATAATTTTTCGTTGCGGAATATTTATTCAAGGTAGTCGTGCTTAGGCCTAGAATTAAGTGTTCACAATTGCCCAATGGGTTTAATGTGGATACCTCAGAACAAACCTCTGGAACGTTTGTGATTATAAGATCTACCAGGCTTGGAGTATCATGGCCTCTGTGATGAGTCATGTCTTTTACTAGTTGGTGTAAGAACAGCTTATCGATGCATTCAACAAATTTTACTGCAGGGTTTATAGCACTTCCTCTGGCGATATTTCCCAACCAATCAATATTCCCAAAGTTAAAATCACCAACAATAATTATAATGTGCATAGACATTAACATAGACAGCAATCCCTCTAAGCTTAGTGATATCATAATTGGTAACCAGATATTTCAAATTCAAAAGGGCTCAAACCAGTCGGTTCATTCTTGGGACTAACCCCAACAATTGCAAATAAATCCGGATGATGATGAAATAAACAAAATTCAAAAACTCCTTTTTCCTAAAAGTGAAATGGCATTTGTGTAAAAAATCTTTGGGGCACCTTACTTTTGTATTAATAATCCATGATAATATAATAATGCAATCTATAAAGCACCTAAATCAAAGTTAAAATATAACTTGCCATCGGCAACAATCAACAACCTCAGATATGTCTTCCTTGGCAGATCAAATTGTAAGACAAACTTCAATACCATCAGAGATTTTTATCTATGGTATTTACTACCTTTTGTTTTTTGACACCCTCATTTCTCATTTTGTATGTGTGGATGTATCTTTTAGCATTGCAACTTGATATTTAAACTCTGCTAGTAACAAAAGAGAAGTAAAATTAGATGCCAAGTTGGCCATATCAATACTTTCCTATATTTTTTACATTTTTTGTAGACCTACTACCTGCTTGCCTGCAGGGATCAACACAATTTGGAAACAACATAGAAGATGAATGGTTCATAGTGTATCTGCTCCTGAAACTCACTAAGGTGTTTGATGGAATGATAGCAAAGTAAGAAGTCAAAACATAACATTTTATTTCATATTAAAAATAGATCTAAAATATACTAATGAAATAACTAAAACTAATAACATTGGTATTAAAAACAGAAAAAAGAAAAGTCGTAAATGTATATAAAAGTTATTATGTTATTGAAATAAGGAATAAGGATCTGTACCATACTGTAAAGTTTTTAATTATGCGGATGATGCCTCAAAAACCTGCTCAAATTTGTGTGGGATATAGCTAGGAAGATAGGTGCAGAGAATCGTAATTGCTGCATAATACATTGTTTATATATTAAGATTAGGTCAAAACTAATTTTTCGAAAAAGACGGATTTCTATGCCAAGTTTTTGCGTGAAGGATATGTTTCCCGTGCAGTCTGGGATCTGTATACAGTCCAAACTTTATTTCAAAAATTGCATTTTAAAAGATGAACAATTGGTTTTGTTAATATCATTTTTGATTTTTTTTTTAAGGATTTCATTGTAGTATACATTTAATAGTAAGTTACATTAATAAGAATAAGTTTGTTTGCTTTTCTTGAATTCAAGGATTTCTGATAATGATGGAGAGTTTCTGCTTATAGAGGGCGCTAACAGTTTGCCTAAGTGGTTAAATCCAAACACAAGTACAGACAGGGTAAGTTTTATATTCATTTCGCATTACAGTATATTTGTTTTTGGTGTCTTTTTAAAAATCATTTGCAGCATGTGTGTAGTTAATTTTAAATGTCAATCAATTAATTTTTCATTAACAGGGATTTGTAAATCACCATTATCCAGCGCACAGCAGAGTATTAAGTGGTAGTATGACAGTGATATTTCTCAAAGTGTACATACTAAAGCCAATAGGATTAAAATAAAATAATAATAATAATAAGAATAATAAATTATAATATTTCTTCATCTGTGCTCATAAATCAAAAATTTAATCTGGGATTGCAGCACCACTCGACTTAACTACAGCAACGGACACATACATTATGGATATAAACATTGTCCTTAACCCGCCTAGCTCTCAATTTGAGGGTTATTCGAAGAGCCAAGTGATCACACTCCAATTAAAATTCTACGCGCTGGCCAGGTCTTCAGCACAAGAAGCAGGAACAAAACCTCTCAGCCAACCACTCTGCTTGAAGTATCACTAACAAAAATGTTTTTACATTAAGGTCTATTTATATCAAGGCGAAATTCACATCATCCCGCTTCCAGTCACACCTGCTGAAATGACATGGTTACCGCCTGGGTCATTGACAGTACAGCAGGCTGTTCACATCATCAGAGGTCATCCAGACAGGACATTAGCCAGCAAACCTATCAGAGATGCTATCTACAGAAGACTACAAGGGTGAGAACATTTTAGATTTAACACAGAGTAGAGTGATATTTGGGTTGTCTTGGTAAAAATCTGGTTCAATAAACATTACCATTTATCTCATCGCATCCATATTTTTAATTTATCGTCGTTATCATTGTTGTCACTGCCGTCTTCAGTGGCATGCTACACTGTGGCTGATCCAGGGGGTGAAAAAATGAATGCTAACCTACCAACCTGGCAGCAGACACTAACTACAGTACAACTGTGGATTGGATTGGATTGGATTTATTCGGTGTAAACACCAAGGATAGCCCACAAAAGTCTAGAAGAAGACTTATTTCCAGTGGGGTCCTTCTGGTGGTGATTGGGCAGTACACCGGGAGACAATCCCCTACTCTTTTCCGAAGAGGGTACTGCATTCTTTAACGTGCACATGGGCCATAATGCACACGGGACCAACGGCTTAAACGTCTCATCCGAAAGACAGTGCACTATTGTAACTTGTATTTCAGCCCTCTAGCTGAAACACACAAGGAGAGGCAGCGATTTAAACCGGGGACCTAGAGATCTCCACGGTTCAGCGCACACACACATTGGCTACCACCAGATTAGCCGACTGAGCTAAGCTGCTCTGTAAAATTTGAATCATTTTAAAAATGCGAAATCATTTAGATAAGAGATTAAAATTGCTAATACACCGAAGCTCCCAACAATAGTTATTAAGGGAACACTTCACAACCTTCCACTCTCTACTATAACATTTTTTTTAATGTAAATTAAAGTGATATTAAAGAGTAATTAGAATATTTAATGATTTCTACAATGAACATGTATTTTGTGAATGTCAATTCTATGTAACATTTTTTTTAAATTTTGCAGCTATCCGGGAAAGATACATCAACAGATTCACCGTGCCCGGTGTTATCTTCCTGCAAAGGCAGCCACAGTGCTGCAACACTACCCCAGTTTAGTTGCACAAGCAGCTCAAGCTTTCTGTCACCGAGATCCGATAGACATGAAGGTGAGTTGTTGAGAAGCTAAATTTGAAATGGCAGCATGGGGATCCAAAGGGGCACAAGACTCTGTTTCAGGAAACTTTGATAAATAGCAGTTATATTTGTAAAACTGCTGTTTATTGAAGTTTCCCAACACAGGGTCTTTTGATAAATATCTGTAAAACTACTATTTATCAAAGAACCTGTGTTGTAAAACTTCGATAAATAGCATCTTTACTGATTGTTGTGTCTCCGATTGAAAATAATAAATTTGTCAGTGCGTCATGAAAGCAATCCACAAATCTTTTAGAAATAATCAGACAAATATTTATTGATGGTAAAACAACAAAGAGAAACAATAATAATCAATGTCAACTCAGTAATCAATTCAAGAAAAGAAGATTTACAAAAAAATATATATTCACCGAACTTAATCACAACATAAACAAAAGTGCCCATTTACGATATGTATGGTCTAAAGAACATAATAAATGACACGCGCATCTAAATATGGTTATGTACAGCTCCATGGCAAACACAATAAATCATACGCACGTCTATTATAATTATGCGCATCCCTGTGGCAATATGGTGTCTACACTGATTATGGTCATTATTTCAGTATCTGTTGTAGTAATGATATTTGGCATTATATCTCTGTATTACCCACCCATGTCTCTCTGAATTTACTATATTTTTTTGTGATATGCATTATTTTTTATCTTCTTATGCATAGGCTTGCAGGTTTATGAAATTCTTTCCACCTGAAGACTTAGTATTGTCACAGGTAATATTTTGAATACGTTTTAGAATATTTTCGTTGTGGTAGTTGCAATGAAAGAAAGTTTGTTTTTAGCTCCGATGAGGAGCTCTAGAAACACTCGGCTGATTGATTAATAGATCTTTTTTAGATCTACTGCCTCTATTGTACTGCCCTCATGAGGAGCTCTAGAAACACTCGGCTGATTGATTAATAGATCTTTTTTAGCTCTACTGCCTCTATTGTACTGCCCTCATGAGGAGCTGTAGAAACACTTGGCTGATTGACTAATACTTGATTGATTAATAGATCTTTTTTAGCTCTACATCCTCTATTGTACTGCCCTCATGAGGAGTTGTAGAAACACTCGGCTGATTGATTAATTGTTGATTGATTAATAGATCTTTTTTTAGCTCTACTGCCTCTAGTATACTGCCCTCATCAGAGCTTTCAGTATTATGAGAACTTGTTTTATCATAAATATGATGAAATCAGCATAAATGATAATAATTATTGTAATTTTTATCATTATCAACTTAATCCTTGTTATCATCATAAAAGACATACCCATATTTTAAAGATCTATATTATCATCATAATTATCATCGTCATCAGCAACATCATCATCAGCATCATGAACATCATCATTATCAATATCATCCTCATTTTCTTCATCATAATTTATTTACATTGTCATAATCCTCATATCATTATCATTCATTATAATAATCATTGCTTTCATTTACCATTATTATCTGCATATAACCATCATTTTCATCATTGCATCATCATCATTATAAACATAAGATTCTTTAAAAGAGTGTACATTAAATTATCTTTACTGCCAATGCAATACTGTACACTTTGATTTTACAGGTGAAGTTTACAAGATGCCTTTATGCAGAACTGGTCCATCACAGATTCCAGCCCCCACTCCGCAGTGGATGGAAGATCCCATCATCCTCTAGTCCAAAACACAAGTCACATGATCTGGGCATAAAATTGGTGAGAAACTATTCATTTCCAATAGCTGAAATGTGTCATGGAAAGATATACTTTTGTATATGGTTTCTAATATCTGATTGACACAAGATTACATAATAATAAATAATGATAATAAATACATATCACTTTATATCTATGGGCTGCACATTATTACCCGGAATTAATGCCTGTGGAACATACTCCACAACTGCCGTCGCTGAGTCAGCGCATAATTAACACCATACCTACCAGGTAGCCACTGATACACCTGGGTGGAGAGAGATAACATGGATAAAGAGTCTTGCTTTAAGGACACAAGTCAGTGGACAGAATGGACAGCATAGCGTTCAAACTCCTGACATCAATGTTGAGAGACCAAATCACTACCGCATATGCCAACCAAATAACTTCCACCAGCAATCTGCAGACGGCCTTGCATTGTCAGGCACTCACACAGAGCCGAGATGGATTTGTATGACCGATGGATTTAGACATATTTCTGAGCTTCTAAGCTAGAGCCTCACTCGTAATATTTAACCTAATAATGACAGTTATTTCAATTCAATTGAATTCAATTTCATATTCATAGTATGAAACACAATAGAAAACAAATTACATGAAAGGAAAGATATATGAATTACAAAAACTATAAGATTTTACCTATATTTACTAAAGATCCTGACAATTTCAAAACTGTGCGTCAATGTCAAAATTAATTTGAGATATCATCTGACCCACATGTATTAATTATTCTTTTCCCTAGGCATATGGTCTTGAAATTTTATGCTCTCGATGTCGAAGTCCTCCAGCAAAGTTAGACCCTGAAACCAAAGAAGATGCCATTTGGAACAGCTCTCTCTGGCAAAGGTATTTAGAATCCCTCAAACAGAAAGGATATTTCCGTGTAAGTACTGTAAAACCAACAATTTAATTCTTTATTTGTACGAAGGCCACTTGTGAAACAACAATTTATTTATATCTGTAAATGAGTGATTTATGTTATCTTAACGTTTTGTTTTGGTAAGGGTGAGATAGAGGGCTCTACGCTGTACACAACCTTGCTCTCTTCAGCCAAGAAGTTTTACCTGGAAACGGTAAACGAAGGAACTAGGTAGGCTGCTGTTTTACTGTTAAATCAAAAATTTGATAATAGTTAAATTATAATAATGTAGTACAAGAATTTATACCACACCTTATTCTAAAAAATATAAGGTGTTGGCTGTGTTTAAGATAAAAATTCTCGAGAATGGTCACAAACATGGGGATAAAGTACAAACATAACTATTAAATATATTATTGCATGTTGAAGCTGTGTTTTATCTAAATATTAAAGACCCCTCCAATTAAAGACCGCTTCCAATTAATGACCATGTTTCTGTGGTCCCATATTATTCTAATTAGACACCAAAGCTGTTAAAGACCGTGGAAACCCCAGTCCCAAAATTGGTCTTTAATTGGAGATGGGCCTGTATTGTAATTTTTCTCATCTGATAAAGTAATATTCAACTTTTCATTCAGTCTTTCACCAGAATGGTTTTAATTTAAATATTTGAGGGGACAGTGTGTTTTTCTTAAAGTAAAACTGTTCACACAAACAAAGTGTAATCTGAAACAGCTATGCATATTTTGAACCATCATGTTTCAAATGTTAAAGGTCCCCTTCAGTAATTTGTTTATTTGTTTTGTAGAAATATATCTGATCCTGGATACAAAGTACTGGAGATTCTTCAAACTGTAACATGTAATGTGGAAGAGCTGTCAAAGAAGGAGAAACACTTGCCAGTAGATGATGGTGAGTGAGTCTATAAATTCATTCTTACAGAGAGTAATGGTCTGTACAACAGTACCACATTATTTGTGACAAACATCTGAGAAATTGACTTTTCTGTGTTTTCTGCATTTTTTATTATGCTTTTTGGCATTTTGTCTATGTGTACCTTGCTTTGTCTTAATTATAGACTTATTAATTTTTTAATTTATTATTATTGTTATTGTTATTATTATTATTATGAATTAGTATTATTATTACAAATAAGTAGTAAAATACTATATGTTTGTGTACCATATCCTGGGCATATAAAGATAGCAGTACTAGTTTCAACTGAGTTGTTAACACAGGTAAAACAAGAAACAAATAAAACAAAAAAATTGTAGCTTTTAATTTTTGTGTATAAATGAAGTATTTGTCTGAGGTTTTTTTTTTTTTTGATTTTTTTTTTCAATTTTTATGCTGTTATTTTTAACATTTGTATATATATGTACACATATTTTTATATATTATTATTATAAATAATAATAATGCTGAATTGCCACATTTATATCACAATCGTATATCTTTGTGTGTGGTGTGTGGCTAGATGAAAGCTGGTTAACATTAACAGCGGAGGAGCTGGACAAGTTGATAGAGTCTGCTGCAGGTAGGCCTCTCAGGAATCCCACTGCAACCATGCAAGAAAATGAAACTGACCCAGAAGAAGTTGACTTCAGTCCTGATCTCCTGACTGACACCATGAAATCATTTGTTGACAAGGTGTCAAGTTTTGAGGGTGCTGAATTCCCAAAGGACTCAGAGAGCGCCCCCATAAGTTTTGATGCCGAATCCTTCGAACAAATTGTCAAGAATCTGTTAGGTGAGCTATGTTCAGGCCAGTTTGACCCACAGACATTCAGTTGAGAACTCAAGATAAAGACACCTGTTGACTAATGTGCCATTGTTCTAATTAGCATAGACCACCTTTTTCACTAATTAATGTACCGTTTTTCTTATTAGAATACAGAACACCTGTTGAGAAAGATGAAGATTCCGATGACTTCTTATCATCTGATGATGAGAGTGATGATGATACAACTGATGCTGTTTCATGTACTGAGACTGACCTCCCAAGTGGTGAGTATGTCATTGTTACATGAATTGTAATATATATGTGTGTGTGTGTGCGCGCGTGTGTGCGTGCGTGCATGTATTTTCTTTCTTTTTCCTTTAAGTGCTGCTGAATGTATTCGATCACTATGCAATATGAAAACACCACCATCACTAACACCATTGTCATGATCATGTTATCACCATTGTCATGATCATGTTATCACCATTGTCATGATCATGTTATCATCAGCATTATCATCACCACCACCATTGTCATGATCATTTTATCATCATTATAATAATCATCATCATTACTACCACCATCACTACCATCATGATCATGTTTTCATCATCAGCAGCATTATCGTCTTAACCACTTCACCATGACTATCATTGTCATCATGATTATGTTATCACCATTATAACCATCACAAATAACAATTTAATGTCCGTTTTGATTTGATAATAAATGTTTTTTTTTTATATTTCTAATTTCCAGTTGAAAGGTTATATGAGTAAGCAATATATTATATTTTAAGATTAATTTAAAAGTTCACTATATAGATATAAATGGTAGTATATTTATGAAAATATAACTAAATAACATAATACCAAACTGCAGCCCACTGATATGATTAGAACAGCTAGTCATGCAGAAGTAGGCACAGCATATGAAGTTTTATGAATGAATTTAAGGTGCTTTTTTATATTTTTTTTAAACCATTTATTTGTTCATTTATTTGATGAACATTTATAATGATGGCGTCCCATTTAGCCTAGTACTAATGAGCTGATGCTGGAGCCCTCTTATGACATAATTACTTATATATGAAATACAATATATGCGAGATAAACACTTGAAATAATTAATTGTAATAATCTCTGAAAGTTTGTTTTTGTAACTTTAATTTCAGGCATCGAATGTAATGGAACAGAAGTGGAAGAAATCAGAGAATTGATGAGTGCTATGGACCAGGAATTAGGGGCAACAACAATCGGGGAAAGCTTTGAAAAAGAACCACAGGTAAATTAGTTTGAGTGACCAGACACACAACATCATATTTCAATCATTACAATTTCCTTTTGCTTCTTGATGACTGTTGAGAAGTGACTGTTGTTGATTAATTTTTAAACTCTGAAAGTAAATGGTTAGATCAATAAAAATGGACATAGTAGTAATCCTTATCTATTCATTAAGAATAATTTTTTCAATCTTCTAATCAATTTTATATATGCCGGAGTCAGTTTTGACCTAGGCAAGCCTTGCTAAAAAGGTACACGTTCTCCATCAAAAGGTTTTCTCTATGAATGCAATAACCTGTTCGAAGCACGAACCCCTTTAGAGCAAAGCCAGTACCATTACGATTTTTAATCGTGCGGGAAATCCACTCACAATTACAAATGCAAAGAGCAGCTTAGCTCAGTCGGCTAATCTGGTGATAGCTACTGCGTGTGCGCTGAACTGTGGAGATCTCTAGGCCCCTGGTTCAATTCCCATCACTGCCTCTCCTTGTGTTTCAGCTGGAGGGCTGAAATACAAGTTACAATAGTGTACCGTCTTTTGAATGAGACGTTTAAGCCGTTGGTCCCATGTGCATTTATGGCTCGTGTGCCTTCGGAAAAGAGTAGGGAATTGTCTCCCGATGTAATGCCCAATCACCACCGAAGGACCCCACTGGAATAAGTCTTTTTCTAGACTTTTGTGGGCTATCCTTGGTGTTTACACCGAATAAATCCAAATCCAATCCATGGAAACATAGTGTAAACCAGTGCTTCCCAAATTTTTACCTGTTACCCACATTTGCAGAAATGAAATAAGTTACACACAGGCCTATGTTAAGTAAAAACATTAATGATAAGCTAAGACAAGGCATAAAGTCTAAGTTTTGAAACAAAGTGGTAGATTTGTTTTTCTTCTTTCAGTGACAGAATAAAAATGATTATTTCTATATGTATAGGAACGTTTCCACAACCCATATTGCTGGCCCAGTTTTGGGTTGCAAACCATAGATTTGGAAGCATGCTTTGACTTATTGTACATTTTTATTGATATTATTTATTGCATGAAATGCACAGAACTCACAAGCATGCAGGCCTGTTAAAGTTGGCGTTAGGGAGCTTTCGATTGCACAACGACGGCAGGACATAGAACGTAATGACGTCACTAAATGTCATCTGCGCATGCGAGAACGTTAAGGTCACCTCGTCGAGTAGATTCTGGATCGCAATTTGGCCAAAGCTACGTATGCAGAGAACGTAGGACACCAGGTAAGACGGTCACGCATGAGTGATTCCGTTCTAGCGTCACGTCATCGCACAAATCGAAAGCTCCTGACTGACTTTTGGTGAAGCTTCTGCAAAGAATAATATTGAAAGTTCATAGTTTCATAATATTAGCTAATAATTTTTTTTTATACTGTACCTTAGTGGACCCCTACATATCAACATTGGTTGAATGGTCACCCACTTAAAATAATGCTAGACAAATTAAGTAAATAATGTATTTCATTTTGTAGATATTACTACTTTTTTCCCCCCCATCTACATTCAGGAGTCTTCCTCGCTCTCTGCGCCTTAAATCGCACCTTTTCCTTTCTTTGTAATTTGTCTCTCGTTTCTGTTAATTTTTCACCTTTGTTGCTAGGAAAGGCTAGACTAGATGCTAACACTATTTGAGCACCTGTGAGTCATGTACCTGCTAACCACTGCTTATCGGTGGTCTCAAATTGCAGGTGGACGGTGCGATAATGTTTGTTCCTTCTACATTAATCTGTTTCGGTTGTATATTTTAGCTTAGGTGACCTGCTAGAATAGATTTTGTTTTTTGTTTTCTGTATTGTGCACTATATAAGTCTCCAACCATTACCATACCATTTTATCTTCCAAAAATAAATTTGATTATGACTTTTAATAATAATGGTCGACTTATAGAGCGCATATTGACACCTCTATGCGCTTAACATAAATGTTGAAAAGTTTTTGCTATCTTGTTTAGTTTTATGTACTTTTTTACACTAATAACAAGATGAATAGCACGTCATTGATTTACAGAGTAATTATATTAATTCTGTTTATATATTATTATCCTTCAGAATGTCAGCCATGAAGAATTAGGTGCAGATGGCGAAGAGAAGGATGAATTGAGACCTGTTGAGGTGGATTTAAATCTGTTGAAGAATCTTCTGGAGTCTTACAGCTCACAGAATGGTCTTGCTGGCCCAGCGTCTAATATCCTACACTCGATGGGGATTAAACTGCCTGATAACGCTGACGATACTTGAAGCTGATGGTGGATATCTTCTGGTTGAGTTCTACTAACATTTGATATGTTCTGTTCTGATTGGCCAAACGTTAATAATATCTTGGTTTGAATGGCACCGTGGAAATTCCATCGGGCCTAGGGAATCTTAAAGACAGAGTCCCCTAAACCCAGGCACATACTTTTTTAACCGGTGCTTCCGTCAGCTGACAAATCTAACTCTCTCTGAGTGCTTGACAATGTAACATCGTCTGCTGATTGTCAGTGGCAGATTGAGCATCACAACAGAGCATTAAAAACAGTTCATTGTGCATGCCACCTCAGCCAAAGACCATTGGGCCTGGCTTAAGAAACAAAAGTAACACAGTAAATGGAAGCACAGAGAGCCGAAACTCTCACAGTGCAGGTTGCCTGTGTCCTTGGGCAAGGCACTTTATCTATCTGTGCTTTTTCTCTCTCTACACAGAAGTATAAATGGCTACCGGCATATGCTTGGAAGATAACAGACTCGCTGTGAGGAGGACTGGTGATCCCCCTCAAGCATTGCACAGTCTGGGCCCAACACTTAAAGAGGGATGGGCACTTCAGACCAGTACAGGTTCGACTGCCTTTACCTTTACTTTTTAATGTAAATTGAAAATCTATGTTATCTATGAACAGTGTATTCTAAGTACTGTATAAGCATGATGAAAACGCAATGAACTAAATGTCATCTTCTGTTCTCTGCAGCCTGTTAGTCCTACGCGAAACATTAACATAGAATGATTTTTATTCCATGTTTCTTTAACATAGGCTGGAATTTCGTCATTAACATACAGTAGTTGGTTTATACAGTAGATAGCTGGATGTAAATAATCGATTGTTACATATTGTTACAGAACAGTTCTAAATTTAATATGTCAAGTTTCTTATGAAATAGATGTGCAATCATATAATAATGAAGTTGTGTTTTTTGTTATAATTCTTAAAATCATATTTTTAAGTGGTTAGTCAGGGTACAATAGGTATTCTGTTGAATGTAATTGTCGTCAGGGTCACATACAGACGTGACGTTGTGATCTGTTCTTTTCGCACTACAAAATCGTCTACAGAGTTCAGACAAGACTCTGCGAACCCCTGCGGTATCCTAGCCTTAAAGAGCTCGTCCAGTGGAACTGAGGGCATCTTACGTGACTGTTCGTCAGAATCAAGCAAGTCATCGGTATGGTCACATGTCCATTTATCACCACTAGCTGCAACATCTTCGTCCCGTTGATACTGCCTGTCTTGCTTTGTGAGCATGTAACTTCCATGTTCCTTCAAATCATTCTGGTGCAGTACGGGTAACTTTAACGACACTTCCATGTCGTTTTCTCTAGTGTTTTGTTTAACATTAGTTGGCTTTCGCACTATTTCTGGTCTTATGTGCTCCAGACTATAGTTAATTCTGAGTTTGTCTGTGTCAAATATTTCCGGTGTTGCAGGGGGTGATTCTCTCGCAGGTGGTGTAGGAGTTGTCCCATTTATCCGATTGATAACGTTAATAAATTCCAGTCTTGGAGAATGTTTCCTGTATATATGAACCTGTGATTTAAGTTTCCTGGAGGAATGGTGCTTAAATTTATTTGTAGAGCAAGTAGATGTTTTTGGTTGTTTTTCCTCGATCTTTGGAAGCTGAAGGGCGGATTTCATTATCGGCTCCTGGATCGAAATTTCATTTTCCAACCAACTTATGATGTCATCAGTGGTGTCTCGTTCCACTTTAGTGCCGACCACTTCAAAATTGGAGGTTATTTCTGCATCACATGACCTTTTTATTCTGGCTTGCGTTATGACCGGAAGGTCACTGAAGGTTCTCTTTTTTTGCTTGCAACTGGCGAGTTCACGTACACGTTCTATTTTCTTTTGTCGCAGCATCTCCATCGTACTTGGACGCGGGTATTCAGACAGGGGTGAATTAGGCGGGTTTTCTGGTATAACTACACTTGATGAATCGGGCCGATAATAATCTCTATTGGCAAGTAGGTCACAGTTCATTGAACAAGGAAATCGTCGACGTGTGCTGTCACGTGTTAGGTTGGGCACCCGTTTTCCATGGACGCCACGCTGGTGCTCGTCCGAGAAATGCACTTGTGGATTCCTAATACCATCTTGTTCTAGAATCTTCCGCAGCGAAGCTTTATTCCTTCCATAATATGTAAATGTGATCTTGATACTTTCGTCATGAACCTGTAAAGTAAATTGTAAATCATGAATCGGGACTAATAAATAGTAATGATGATGATGATAATGGTGATGATAAATGATATAAATGATGAAGACGATGATGGTGAAGATGATGATGAGAATGATGGTAATGACGATGGTTATGACTACAGAAATGATGATGGCAGCGCCAACGAAAACAATACTGTAATGATGAGGTTTCGCTTGCTAGAAGTTTTAATATTAAAATAAAGAAGTAAAGACCTGGTAGGCCTACTAAAATTAACCCCCAAAAAAAATAGGAAAACCACAATTCTGGAGAAAAAATAATGTATTTTTTACATATTATTAGACTATCTATATGTAAAATCGAATAAATAAGCCTCTGAAACCTCAAAATTGTCCTATCTTTTCGGGGCTCCGCCCCCTGACCATACCTGAAACATTTTAATCGATTTTAATAATATGTTTGCTCTATGCATTCAATCCTGGGACTGTGGTTGTTGGCATGATTTGATGAGCTGTGGAGTGGAATCATATTCTTTCCTAGGTCAATATCAAAATGAGAGTATTTCTCTTGGACAGATGAGAGCTCCCTGGACAGAAAGTATTTTTCCAACTTTCATTTTCTAGGACTAGTCCTCCTTTTCCGACCATTTGCACCTTTAACACATTGTCATCTGACTTTTCAAGAACACCTGCAATGATCGTGCCATCTACTAATCTCAATCGGCCGATGGCCAACAAGCCACTACAAAATGTATAAGCTCTGATGTGGAGTCATTCAGTTTAAATTCATTTGATACTGACCAAGATTTGACATCAGACATGCAGGTTTTTATTCTGTCAATGGCTGCGAAACGCTCAGCTGGTAAAAAAGATGTGTATATCTGAACATCATCAGCGTAAAACATGCATTACATACCATGTGATGTGATGATGTCAAAAAGCGGGGTAGTGTATAAAATGGGCCAATTTAGAGCCCTGTTGAACCCCACAATGCATTATGCAAGATGTTGAAATACATCCATTTATTATAACTGGACAAATAGATTGAGAGCAAGTTTAGTTCATGGCCTGTAATACCAAAGCGAGAAATTAAACGTTTTATCAATTTTGAATAAGAAATTGTGTCAAATGCTGAAGAAAAGTCTAACAAAAGGAACAATACTTCTCTTCGTAGATCAAGCGAACAAAGGATGTCGATGTGAATTCTTAGGCAGTTTCTGTGTTGAAATCTTTTCGGTGGCTGATTTGACTTTAGCAAGTTGATTTTAATCAAGATATTCCTGAAGCTGCAACAAAACAACTATTTCAGAGATTTAAGGAACACTTGATACAGGGCGATAATTGGACATATCATCTTGATCTAAACTTGCCTTCTTGATTAAATGTTTAACATGAGCGACCTTTAAAGTGTCAGGGAATACACCATTAAATAATGATGTATTCATTGAGTGAGTTAGAAATTGGGGTAATTCATCCAGCATTCGTTGAACACACAGGTAGGTAATGGGTTCAACTTACAAAATTTGTTGGCAGTTAATTCAATAATCTTTAATACAATTGTCGTCAGATGATGCACATTCCCAATGAATTAGAAAAAACCTCGGTGTAAATCACTGTTATTACATATGACCGCGTGGGGGTTGTATCGACTTTCAGAGATTAGGTCGAGTGATGAGTCTAGTTGAAGATGTAGAATTGACCAACCAAAGACCAACAGAAGAGCATTGCAGCAAGTCTTAGCATGGAAAACATTCTTAAAGGACTCGGTTGGAATGTAGTGAATTGAACGGCCTGTGGTGGCGATATTTTTAAATTTAAATGTGTTGTCGAATGACACACCGATGTTCTTATTCGATTTTACAGCATTGATGTTAAAGTTGCAATATCTAATGTTGATGTTAATTATAGGTAGGTTGGACAAATCAAACTTTCAACAAATGAGGAGGACTTCAGTTTTTTATTCGTTAAGTTGGAGTTCGCTTGCTGACAACCAATCCTTTTTACCATTGTGACACATTTTTCCATTGATGAAATCGTCGATTGTGCATTTGACTCACTGAATAGAGCTGTGTCGTCCGCATTACTGATGAAAGTTATTATACTGTATTAACTTCGCCAGTGGTGATATGTAGATGGTAAACAGCACAGATCATTGCGGTATACACCATAATGGATGAGCTTAGATGCGGACTTGGTTCCATTGATAGTGATAAATAATGTCTGTTCGAGAGATATGACTTTAACCATGCAATAGCGTTCACATTAATTCCAAGATTCATCAACCGCTGAAGGAGTACATCATGATCAATGATCAATTGTGTCAAAAGCTGCTGACAAATCTAACATGATTAGTAAGACACATTCACCGGAATCCAGAGACAATAGGATGTCGTTGTGCACTTTTAACAGACCTGTCGGACTTTCACCTAGTCATAACTCCTGTCTCTTATACACATCTAGATGTGTATAAGAGACAGTATATATATATATCCAGATTCAAGCAAGGCGTTGGTGGTATAGGTATTCATTCATTCTTTTTGCATGCAACAACTTTTTCAATAAATTTTGAGATATACGAGAGGTCTGAGATAGGCCTGTAGTTCTTGTAACATTCTGGATTGAGTGAAGGTTTCTTCATTATAGGTGTGAAAACAGCAATCTTTAATGATTGACAAACCATCATTATCATCGCCATCCGTCTTCATTATTATCAGTAATGTCATCGCCAACAACACCATCGCCATCGTCATTATTATCATCATTTAATTATTATTATTATGATCATCACCGTCACCAACAACACCACCACCACCATCGTCATCGTCATTATCACCATCATCGATACTCTTTATTATTATCATTATTATGATCATCACCGTCACCAACAACACCATCATGGTCATTTTGATCATCTGTCGTCTTCATTATTATCATTATCGTGATCACCACCTTCACCAACAACAACACCATCGTCATTTTCGTCATCATTGTCTTCATTATTATCTTCATCATCACCATCACCAACAACACCACCATTGTCATCGTCATTATCATTATTATTATTATTATTATTATTATTATTATTATTATTATTATTATTATTACTATTATTATTATTATTATTATTATTATTATTATTATTATTGTTATTATTGTTAATATTGTTATTATCATTATCATTATCATTATTAGCAACTCAGTATTTAGAGCATCGAATCACCTTTGGACCTTGTATTGCTGTGCTGATATTGTGTTCATAGACCTCTGTAGTATAGGATACAAGTTTCTCGTTTAATTCCAGCATGAAATAAGTGTAGAGGAGAGTACGCATTAAAGATCCGTCAGTCACACGTATGGAACTAAAGTCATTCCATCCAGAAGAATACAAGAAATCCCAAAAGTTTCCTAGCAGACGAAAATGAAGGAAGAAGCAACATCAGTAC